TTGAACATCCATCATTCAAGCGTTCACGACCACCTGAAGAAGCTGGGATACGTAAGCAAGCTCGATATTTGGGTTCCGCATGAACTCAAAGAAGTTCATTTGACGGCGCATATAAACATCTGCAATATGCTCATTAAACGTGAGGAAAAGGATCCTTTTTTGAAGCGACTGATAACTGGTGATGAGAAGTGGATTCTTTACAACAATGTGGTGTGCAAACCGTCTTGGTCCCGATGTGATGATTCGCCTCAAACGACTTTGAAAGCAGACATTCATCAAAAGAAGGTTATTCTGTCAGGGTGGTGGGATTTTAAATGTGTCGTGTTTTTCGAGCACCTACCAAGAAACCAAACAATCAATTCAAATGTGTACTGTCGGCAATTGGACAGTTTGAACGAATCCATCATCCAGACACGTCCAGAGCTTGTTAATTGTAAGGAGTTGTGTTCCATCGCAACAAGGCAACACCACACACAAGTTTGATCACCCGTCAGAACTTATTGGAGCTTGGATGGGATGTGTTGCCACACCCACCATACTCGCCTGACCTTTCGCCATCAGACTTCCACTTGTTTCACTCTCTTCAAAACTCCTTGGGTGGTATAACATTCAATTCAGATGAAGCTGTAAATAAGCACCTTGTTTAGTTTTTTGCCAATAAAGACAGGTCCTTCTATGAACGAGGAATTATGAAGCTCACTGAAAGATGGCAAAAGGTTATCGAACCAAACAAGCAATATATCATTGATTGATCTTTGTTCTTTATATAAATAAATGACCTTTGCAAAGCATAGACAAAATACATAATGACTTTTCTGACGACCCAATATTACAATGACTATATAACGTGGCTGGAGGTTACTTGGAGATGACTCTTGTTGCCATCTTGGTCTTGACCAGTTCTGGTTGGTTTCCTTGTCTCATTTACTGGTCCCGGTTAATGGTTTTCTTGAAGGCCCTGCCCCAACTCGCTCATGAATATTAGTGTTAACAGCAAGACTATATGGAAGTCAGTCCCTGTATATAGTTCCACTTATAGGACCATATGATATGATGATCTAGTTCTGGAGGAGAGTTGAGAGGGGGGGTTGGATGTAGCAGCTTTTTCACTTAATTTGTTAGATTTAGGGTTTAATTTGGGACTTTGTTGGATTGACTTGAACTAGATCAATAAATGTAGCTACCTTCATTTTTCTTGCAGGTATCTTCAAGACCCTATTCTAATTCTTGTCAAAGCCCTAAGAGTAGGAAAACAGTTCTAGCTCAGTATTGGTGGTCTGTTTTTCTACTGCTTTTTACTTGGTCTGTTCCTGTCAGTGACCGTGGCTCACTTTGGCAGTTATTAAACTGAGGAGAGAGGCAGGAGGAGGGCAGGCTCCACCTCACCACTCCTCTGCCTCCCGCACCAGTGAGAGTCATTGTTCTGGACCTTTTGTGGATCCTTTAATTCAGGAGTTTAAAAGGCATGTTCTTTTCCCTGGAGCATTTCTGGCATCTTAATGATCTCCAGCACATGTGCCTCTTCAGAGCTTTTCCCTGCCTAGGAATGCTTTGCCTTTTGCAGACCCCGGTGTAGAAGGATCTTGCGCATATTAAAGCAGTACATATTTTCATGCTGAGCGCAGACAATAATCCAGGCAGTAGATTCTTTTACAGCTTTTTATGGTCATTGACTGGGCTCCATAGAAAGGAGTTACAGAGGACTTAAGCAATTCCTGTCTGGTGCGTGAGCATCCTGTAACACAAACCTGCTTTCTGAAAATGGTCTGTCACCTGCACTGAAAATGGTCACCTAGGATTGAGGCTTACAGATTAAAGAGGGTTTTCATCTGTGATTATGCTTATTTTTCTGATTAGCTTTTTAAGATCAGAAGAAATGAGAGTCCTTAGTACATTCATGTTATATCATTTCTATTTGAATTTTTGAATTAGTAATTTTTGTACAAAATTAATATTTGCTCGTGGTTAAAACCATTTTTTTCAAAACAACAGCAAGGGAAAAATTAAAGTGAAAAGTCTCACTGACCAGAGATAACCACTGTTATGTGTCTCGTATGTAGAAGAAAATATTTATGCCCATGCAAGCACGTGGGCTCCCATGTTTATCCGTTTTACTTAAAGCATTAATGAAATCATACAATACATTCTGTTGTACACTTGCTTTCTTAACAGTCCTGTCTTTCCATATCAGGACTTACTGGTTTATCTCACTCTGCTTCAGGACTATTTTTTCTGCCTGGAACAGTCTTATCCCAGATTATCCCAGATCTCTTCAGGACTCTCCCTCTCTTGCTTCCTTACTTAAATGCTGCCTTCCCAGTGATACCCTTAGTTGAGCTATCTAAAATCTCAGCGCCCCCCCCCATCACTTCCTATTTCCCCTCCCTATTAATGACTTTTTCTTGCACTGATTATGTACATAGTTTTTGTTTTGTTTATTGTCTGTTCCCCCCACTGTAATGTATACTCTCCGAGGAAGAATTTGTGACTGTCATTCATTACCAAATCCCCAGCCTTTACAACCACGCTTGACCTCATAGTAGATGCTCTATAAATATTTGTTGAATGAATGAATAGGTGATTATGTTGTTTATCACATTTGGGTACACCATAATTTATTAAATAATCCTCTATTAATAGTCTTTTAGGTTTTCAGTTTTCCCTGCTTTTATGAACAATGCTATATTGAATAGTCTTATACATATATCTCTGTACTATTGTGTAGGATAAATTCCTAGAAATGGAATTGTGAGTTTAAAGGATATACGCATTTAAAATTTTTAATATTGTCTCCCATCCTCCTTCCTCCCCTAAGAAAAGAATATTATCCACTTATAGTCTTGCTAAAAGTGTGTAAAGACACCCATTTCACTACATTGGTTATAATCAACCTGTAAGCCTTTGCTACTCTGATAGATGAAAATGATATCTTAATTTCAATTTCTTTCATTATAAGTCGAATACCGTTTCATATACTTACTCACCTTTTGTATTTACTTTTCTCGTCTTTTTTTTCTTTTTTCCATTGTTCTATTAGGTTGTTTTCCTTCTGTTTTTGCCAGCACGGCTTTGTTTGCTTTGGTACATTTCCTCTCTCCAGGCTGCAACCAGATCTAACTCCAGAGAACAGTATACATCTGGGCCACAGCTATTCTATGCCGAGAACGTTTGTAACCCTACTGTTAACATTTTTGTGCCTTCTTCTTGCTCACGTTTTTTATTTGTTATTTATTAGTAAAAACAATCATGTAAGCATGCAGATGTTAGCTGTATGCTTGGCACTGTGCTCAGCACTTTATTTCTTTATCTCTTTAAGCATCACAGCAACCCTATCAGGTGGTACTATTTTCTCTCCATATATAATTTATACCTATAAAGAAACTGAGAGATGGTAAGATTAAGTAATTTGCTTGAGGTCACACGTCTAGTGAATGGCCACACTAGGATTTGAGCCTGGGCAGGGTGGCCCCTGGAGCCTGTCCTCCTAACCACTAAGTTCTGTTTCCTCCAGGGTGGGGAGGGAGTTATGTTGCCCATTCTCTGTTTTCAAGAAACCCTTCTGCCCATGTGTCCCCATCCAGAAAATGGACAACAGTTGTTGAAACAAGGAAAAGGTATTCATGTACACCTTGGTCTTTAGTGCCAAGGTGAGAGAGTTACTGAATTTTAAGTCTCTTGAACATAAGAACTGTGTATTCTTTATCTTTATATCCTCTTAGGACTTTATGGTTGAACAAATAAATCTGTACTTGTTTTAAATATAGACGTCCAGGAACCTGTTTTATATCTTTTTCATGAACCCAAAGGGAAGGTTTTAAGAATCATGTTGATTTTAGAATTCCTCCCTGCCTGAGGGGTCTTGTCAAATTGGATTGAAATAAAATGTTCATGTGCCAAATACAGAACTGAAAACAGAGGGCTAATTTATAGAGGGTCTGTTTGGGGGTGGGAGATCCTCTTTTTTTCTCTTTACTGAGGCTTCCTGCTCTGTTTTCTCCTGCCCATGGGCAGAAAATGGAAAAGAGACAGTTAATCCCAATTACAGCAGAGTGTTTCAGGGCCATCGGCAAGCTACCCTCAATTTACTTGTTTTGGGTCTCAGCTTGTGTTTGTTACAACTGAATTCTATTCAAAGACCCCCTTTGTCGAGAACCCTTCCAACAGTTGTGGACATTCCAGGAGCCATGTGGAGGCAGTGTGGTAGGGGTTAAAGGAGTGGACTCTGGGGCTGGCCTGTAGGCACTGAAATCCTGGAGTCACCGCTTTGGGCTCTGACAAGATACTGGACTTCCACTTGTTTTCAGTGTCCCCAAGCATACATCCTAAATGTTAGGGGCCTGTGAATTGAGTCAGTTTATTTTTCTCACTGAGCTTTACAGCTAAGGACAAGAACGGAAAGAGAGTATGTAGCTCTTATGTTTCTCTAAGCACTTTTCATCAGAGATCATAATGCACATTACACATGTAACATGCACATATTACACACATGAACGCATGTACTAAGTGCTTAAAATGATGCAAAGAGTCTTCTTTGAAGGAACATGAATCCCAAAAGAAAAAAAGCCAAAGTTAAAGGTCACACAGGCGGAGTAGAAGTAGAACGTGGGTTTTCTTCTAGCTTCCTGCCCTTGGCTGCTGAACTGTTCTCTGAAGAATGATTTGTGACAGAAGCCCTTTCCTTTGGAATCTTGTCACTGTCAAAAGAAAAGAATCTCTTTGGAGGCATATTTTGGGCACAGGATAGGCTTTTTTGTTGTTGTAGGAGTCTGGTGCTTGCTGCTGCAGGCCTGATCTGGGAGAAGAGGGAAACACTCTGTTGCTGTTTACAGGGCTAGAGATGGTTGGAGGACATGGCCTGACTGGGTGTTCCTGTTATCCCTCCCCTGCACATCTGGAAACCTGTCATGCAATGGCTATGGCATAAGGGAGCTGCATTGCTTCAGCGTCTTTTGGATATGTCCTTTTCTTTGTATCATAATCATTCTGATCTGTTCCCTTAGGCTCTTTATTGAGAAACTACCAAAGCATCGAGATTACAAATCGGCTGTCATTCCTGAAAAGAAAGACACAGTAAAGGTGGGTCTTCACTTTCACTGTTGCTCATCTAAAATTTTCAAAGTGGCACACACTAACTTCATGGTAAAAGTGGTAGTGTCTGCATCTGAGCATCAAATCCCGCAAATGAGGCCATTTCACCAGATCAATATGAAGTAGCAGGTATGGTACAATAGGGGATGTTATAAATCATGTTTGGAAACATTGTTGCCATTGAAAATTTGACTTAAGTCTTCTTTTTACTTTTCTACTTAATTAGCTGGGAATTGTTCTAATTTTCAGTTTTGTGTGTGTATGTGTCTCAGAAATTAAAGGAGATTGCATTTCCCAAAGCAGAAGAGCTGAAGGCAGAGCTATTAAAACGATATACCAAAGAATACACAGAATATAATGAAGAAAAAGTAAGTATATAACAACACAAAAAAAGGAAATTATTTTGTTTTTTTAGGCTATGCCCTGTGATTATAATATGATATTTCTGCAGATCCTATGATTTTAACATGATGCTTTACATTTTTTGGCAAAGTCCAGAAACTCAAAAAAGTAAAACACAGGTGTTAACCTGAGGATTCTTACACAGATTTAGCCTGCTTGTCCATGAGGGTAACTTAAGGAACAGAAAATCTATTGCTTGTCTGCTGTATCTAGAGCGAGAACCTAAGAACAATGAAAAGTCTCACTAAAACATAGGTTTTCAGATCAGAGAATTTGCTGGATTTGATTCACATTTGGTTATACCTGAAATAGGCTGCACCTATTTGAAATCACTGACTTTTTAAAAGCCATTTTCAAATGATTCTTGTTAGAAAGAGTCAGCTCAGGCCCGTGGAGAAGCTCCCAGGGCGCTGTCAGTGCTTTGTTAGATGTGAACGCGCACTGCAAGCACTTCCGCGTTATTTTGTAGCGCTCTGCTGAGCTCTCTTCTGGGTTCTGATGGTGGAAATCAGCAGAGAGGTCAACAGCTGTGAGGCATATATTTCTAAGGCACCAAAGTGAGTGAAAACCTTAATGAAGGAGGAGATTATTACTTCTATTTCTTGTTCATTAAAAATGTCACTCTATATTGAACTGGTCACCAGAAAAATTTCAGAGGCTTCATTTTGGGTTAATATTCAATAGAGACCTCCAACATAGCTGATCTAATTTTGGTTCTGTTTTATAGACTCACTTGGGATATAGAATGTGTACATGGCACAGATAGAGAATAAAACTGTGTGTGATACCAATTATGAGGTGCAGACAATAAGTTGCATCAAGATTTTGGTAAAGAAGAAAATGCTCATTGGGAAAGTTATTGAGAGGATTGGGACTTTAACTGTCCTTGAAGAAGAGGTATATAGTGGCTAGATAGATAGGAGTGGTGACTCGTCCATGTGTGTAGAGTTACCGAGGAAAGCATAATTTCTGTGTTGGGAAATCAGGCCAGGAAAGAAGTACATTTTGGGAAATCCCCCTCCTGAAAAGCCTTGTCCTCCTGAGATGTGAAGTCACCTGAGTGTGGTGTTAGACTAATGCCTGTTCTATTTTTGTAGAAGAAGGAAGCTGAAGAATTCGCCCGGAACGTGGCCATCCAGCAGGAGATGAAAAAGGAAAGACAGAGGGTAGCACAACAGAAGAAGCAACAGTTGGAGCAGGAACAGTTCCATGCCTTTGAGGAGATGATCCGGAACCAGGAGCTAGAAAAAGAGCGCCTGAAAATTGTACAGGAGTTTGGGACAGTGGACGCTGGCTTAGGTGGCCCCCTGGTGCCTGACTTGGAGAAGCCCTCCCTAGATGTGTCCCCCACAGCACCTGTCGCATCCACACAGCCTTCCGACTGTAATACAACTGTAAGGCCTGCCAAGCCACCTGTGGTGGACAGGTCCTTGAAGCCTGGAGCACTGAGCAACTCCGAAAGTAGTGAGTCCCTTTACTCATGTCCTCTTCCATCTCAGCTGCAGCCATCAGAGCATCATTGCAGGGCCTTCAGCCTAAGATTACCTCCACGAGTCTAGTCATTAGACTCTGGTCACAGAAACCCATTTAATCAGTATTATCATACTGTGTCCTACCACATTGCCTATATTATCAAAGTGGCCTTTGCTTGAGCCATATAATTTACCTGGGCCCAGGTCAATTTTCTGAAGCATGAATGAAGTCCTTGAAAGTCGTACCCTCAGCTTTGAAGGGTTATACAGAGACTTGAAATGTTCAGTAAACTAGAGACCACTGTTGGCCTTTTGTAAAGGAAACTTGAAATGTATTATACCACTTAGCAATTTAACAACTGACTTTCAAAATAAGGTGGGAAGAGAGGGGCAATTGAACTGTGCTTGCCCTGAAAGTGGTCCTAATCCTTAAGGAGCTTAGTAATCGGTGATAATTCAGTCTAGCCATACAAGCTACCGACAGTCTTTCCTCCTCTCACCAATGATTGGCCATCTGAGAAAATAATAGGAGCTGCAAAATGATGAGTATACCTTGGTTATTAGAATAGATCTTTTGGGGTAGGACTAGGCTTTCAAGTAGTCATTTAAGGAAGTTAGCTTTGCAGAAGATTCACTTAAAAAGACAGTGACAGAGTAGGCAGAGTGGACTCTGAAGCCTGGCCTTTAGGGCTTCGTCCCGCGTACTAACAGTCTTGTATCTCACTACTGTTTTTTCGTACGTATTTAATACTCTGGTCAAATTGGGCTCTCGTGTTCCCAGAACAGTTCCTGGACTATCTTACCCAAAGAAGTTTGTTAACATTTGCCCTGAAGCTCAAATCTCCTTTCTCTATCTCTGCCTTCCCTACTTTTCTTCAAGTTTTTCCAGATCCCCTTCCCTTCAATAAGATTAATTCTGTTCTTAAAACTCCCAAAGCTCTTATCATCTGTAATACAGTTGAGATTGTTATCTAATAGTGGAGTTGTTTATCAATAACTAGATTTTAACTTATTGCAGTTTAGGGCTTGAGTCTTATTCCTATTTGTGTTCCCTGTGGGCTGAGCACAGTATCTATTTGGTATGCACTTGGTAAGTGATTACTGAATTGAAAGGCAAGGATTGTATTAACCTTAATTCACAATCCTCAGATACCGTCATTAGACTACCATGTGACTACCCGGCTCCTGGTCTGACATTACCTCTCTAGCATTTCAGATCTTGTTGTTCAATGTGCAGAAGCAGAATATCCTTTTCCACTTTTGTTTTTTTGTGTTTTTTTTTAATGAAACTGTAAATGTAAATGACACTCCCTGACTTTAGCCTGCTGGTTCCCTCAGAGGGTTTCTTCCTAGTGTTCAGGGACTGAGTCCATTGTTGGCATCCGAGCCAGGCTTATGAGCTGCTTGGTTTGTGTATGCCTTTTTTGAGGACCAGAATATGTTTCTTGTTGTTTTGTTTTATCACTTTAACTTTCTCCTAAATGAACTAACTTAGAAGTAAGTAGGTACACAAGTTACTTTCTGTTATCTAGAATATATCCTGTGTATTTCCTCGAAAGTCATACTTTTTGACATTCTTATCTGAGATAAAAGATATTTAAAACGAAAATTTAGTTGAATGAGGTTACTTTTTTCTTTGTATTAGATGATGACAGAATTCCTGAATAGCTCAGAAACTTCTTTTTAGTAGTTTATTCTTGTCTTAACTTGAATGATTAAAGCCTGTTTTCTTTTCTTGAAATAATGTATTACTGACAGCTGTGGCCAGAGGTTAGAGAAGAGACTTTATAACCCTCTAGCTTCTGCCATTTAGGTTGAGATTCCCACTCACTGCCTAAAATTGGGGTGGGGGGTGAGCAGTGATTTGGCATTGCGTTCCCAGGGCTGCCAGCTCTGAGTCTGCTTGGGGAGGCTCTGCCCGTGATCTCAGACTTTTCCCCTTTCCCCACTACAGCTCCTACAATCGATGGACTGCGCCACGTGGTGGTGCCTGGGAGGCTCTGCCCACAGTTTCTACAATTAGCCAGTGCCAACACTGCGCAGGGAGTAGAGACATGTGGAATTCTCTGTGGAAAACTGGTAAAAAGAAACGCTTCCCTGAGCTGAGACTGTCTCTTCCCCCTTGGCCTCCTGTGAGTCAGAGAAGATACCCAGGGTCAGTTACTCTTTGCACTGATCCCTCTGCCAAAGGGACCATGGACAGCATAATGCAATGTCACTTTGAATTTGGTGACCCTGTATTTGATTGATTTTCAGAGTCCTTTGATTATTATTGAACTGGTTATTTTAATGCCAGTAGTAAGAAATTCCTAATTCTAAACTTCATAGGAAGATCCAGTCATTACCTGTATATCACTCTTCGAACACCTGCTTTATGGTAGGACCCAGGAATATGAAATAGTAAGACGCAGAGCATGTGTCCACAAAAAGTATCCCAGCACTTTGGAGCGATGGGAGCTATACACCAAAAGATAAATAGCATGCTGAATCGTATGTACGATAAGAGCACTAGGAATTTTAAGGAAAGGTCATTGAATGGAGCCACTTACAGAACCCATTACTAATTGCTGAATGAATAAATGGATGAAGTGGAATATAATAGCATTAGACTGAGACTTAAGGATGAGGAAGACTTAAAGGAACAGTGAAAGGGAAACTACTTTAGACACAAGCAAAGGAAGAGAAATGGTATTATACATGGAGCTTCTCAAGAACCACGAGTAGACCCATTTCACTGTAGCAGGAGATTCCCACAGGACTGTGGGCATCTGTGGCTTTGTAGAGTGCCCCCAGGCAATGCACATGAGCGGGAAAGGAGGTGAACCACAGAAGCGAGGGGCTCAGAGAGCACGATGTAGACTGGAGTGGGAGAGGTCTTCACTTGTACAGATGTTTAACTCTCCACTGCTGTGACAGAGTGGGGTTGCATCAGCGCCAGGGCATTGTGACAAGCTGTTTTCTCCTTTGGCAGATGAGGAATGAATTTACCATCACCCATGTTCTCATCCCCAAGCAAAGTGCTGGGTCTGATTATTGCAACACAGAGAACGAAGAAGAGCTTTTCCTCATACAGGATCAGCAGCGCCTCATCACACTCGGCTGGATTCATGTAAGCAGTTCCGAGCCTCTGAGGATTAGCCTCTTCTTTCATGATGTTACAAACACACTGCTAGTGTCTTTCTTTGAGCAAAGTGAATCGTATTCAGATTATTTAGATGATTGTTTTTCCCTCCCTTGGCTGCAGACTTCCCTAGTATATTTGACTGCTGGGAACTATTTAGGGCTTTTTAATTTTTTTATGAAAAACATTTTTTTCATAAAAATGAACTTTTATTTTTGGCGAATTGTATCTTTTTTTTTTTTCTGGTGTACAAAACAACATAATGATTAGACGTTTACACCCTTCACAGAGCAATAACCACCCCACAAGTCTGCTACCCCTCTGACATCGTACATAGCTATTATAATACCACTGACTATATTCCTTATGTTATACTTTACATCCCGTGATTATAAATATATACAAATATATGTATATATTTAATTATAGTTGACATGCAATATTGTTTTATAGTAGTTTTCGGTGTACAGCACAGTGGTTAGGCATTTATATAATCTGTGAAGTGATTCCCCCTGATAAGTCCAATACCCATCTGACACCCTACATAACCTTTACAACATTATTGATTATATTCCCCATACTGTATTTCACATCCCCATGACTATTTTGTAACTACCAATTTCTACTTTCCAATCCCTTCACCTTCTCCCCCATCCCTCAACACCCCTCCCATCTAACAACCATCAGTTTTTTCTCTGTGTCTATGAGTCTATTTCTATTTTGTTTGCTCATTTATTCTGTTCTTTAGATTCCACCTGTAAGTGAGATCATATGGTATTTGTCCTTCTCACTCTAACTTATTTCACTTAGCATAACACCCTCCAGGTCCATCTGTGTTGTTGCAGATGGTAAGATTTCATCATTTTTTAATGTCAGAGTAATATTCCATTGTATAAATGTACCACAGTTTCTTTATCTAATCGTCTATTGATAGGTGTTTTGGTTGTTTCCATATCTTGAATATTGTGACTAGTTCTGCAGTAAACATAGGGGTGCATATATTTTTTTGAATTTAGTGTTTTGGATTTCTTTGGATAAATAACCAGAAGTGGAATTGCTGGATTATATGGTAGTTCTATTTTTAATTTTTCGAGGAAACTCCATACTGTTTCCCACAGTGGCTGCACCAATTTGCAATCCCACCAACAGTGCACTATGGTTCCCTTTTCTCCACATCCTTGCCAACACTTGTTGTTTATTGATTTATTGATGATGGCCATTCTGACAGGAGTGAGGTGGTATCTCACAATCTTGTTTTTAAAGTCCCAGTTTCCCTGTAAGTGTGAATGGTGATGGGATGCTGGCCTAGAATATATGTGAACATTGACTATGCCTTCATATAGATGATGTTCCTAAAAATATATAAATCAAAATATTTTCAATGAGCCAAGGAAGTTAATTCAGATTCTTGGTTTTTCTTTTTAAGATTTTTATTGGGGAATTGGGGGCGGGGAACAGTGTTGGGGAATTGGGGAAGGGGAACAGCCAAGTTGTTGTCCTTGAATCTTAGTTGTAGAGGGTGCAGCAAGCTCAGCTCCAAGTCCAGTCTCATTGCTCAGCTCAAGATGCTGTGTTTAATTAGTTGCGGGTGGGTGTAGCCACCATCCCATGTGGGAGTCAAACCAGCAGCCCTGTTAAGAGCGCGCCCTGTATTCCCTGAGCCACCCAGGCGGCAGCTCAGTTCAAGGTGCCGAGTTCAGCCTTAGTTGTGGGCGGGTGTAGCCCACCATCTAAAATAGGCAGCCTTGTTGTTAGGAACACATGCTCTCACCAGCTGAGCCATGCTGCCACTCATTGGCAGCTCAGCAGCAGCTCAGCTCGGGCACAGCTCGGGCACAGCTCGGGCACAGCTCACTGGCCCATGTGGGAATCGAACCGGCGACCCTGTTACTAGAGCTCACACTCTTGAGCAAGCACTTAACCAACTGAGCCACTCGGCTGGCCCGCATTTGGTTTTTCTTAAAGTAGCATATACCTTTATGTAAGCAAGAAAGGCCAACAATATAGGTGATTTTTAAGTGTTTGTGTATGTCATGTAATCTTTTGGTAATATTCAGATAAAATTTAATTCTATCCCTAAAGATTATTTCTAAAGTTTTCTTTCTATTCCTTTGGAATCCTTCACTCTTATAGACCAAGCTGCTTTTCATGTTGTGTGACAGGGTAACATAGAAACAAGTCAACTCATTTCTGGACTTGGAAAGATTACACACACTTGTATGTTAGAATTTGGGAAATACTGACCTGCGAGGTAGTCCTATGTTCCTCTGTCCTTGATTCAGCTTAATTACATTAATATTTGCCTTCTGTTGTGTATCCCCCATGGTAGTATATTGGGGATAGGAAACTTGTTCCTTATCTGCCAGGGGATACAAATTTGAGTAGGGTACAATTTTAGTCTCATAAAGGAGATTAGACGCACAGAGAGACAAGTAATAACTCTTCCCGTGAGGCAGAATGTGCCAAGTGCCTCAAGCTACACAGAGAGCTCTGTGGAATTCAGAGGAGGGGAGCATTGCGCTTGGTGTGATTTACTAGAATTTTGACAAGATGGGCCCAGGGAGAGTTGCATAGAGAAGGGAAAGCACTGGAATAGACAGACTGCGTTCCTGCAGCATCGAGTGGTCCGGTGTGCTGGAACTGATGGTTCGTATGAGGAAATCGTAATAGATAAGCTTTAACATGATACATTGGGTGGACAGGCAGAATAGTTCTCCTTTTTAGTAAGTGGAGAAATCTTAAAGGTTTTTTGTTGTTGTTTTTTGTTGTTGTTTTTCTGTATTCATGATGACTTCTTTCTTTTTTTATTAAAGTGTAGTTGACATGCAATATTACATTAGTTTCAGGTGCACAATATAGTAATTTGACATTTTGAGTAGAGCAGTGAATGATGTGATCCAAGCCATATTTTAGAAACTGTAAAATATAGTTTTAAGATAGGTCAAGGCAGGGAAATCATTTAAGAGATTAGTGTGATGATAAAAATCTCATAATAATGTGAGCTGTGGTGATGACATTGCATTTGGGAAGGAGGAGATGAGTGTAAATTTCAGAGGATGTGGGTATGAGTAAGAGAGGATGATGAGTAAAAGTCAGTGATGACTTAGAGATTTGGGGCCTGACTCATAGGAGTAGCAATGATCATCTCATAGGCAGAAGCGGGGGCTCAAGGAAGAGAACTTACTTTGGAAATGGGGTAAATGGTGTGTTCAGTTCTGAGCATATTGAATTTAAGGTACTGTTGAGACATTAAATCAGTGGAGGTATTTAACAGGTAGTTGGAAATGTGGCTGGAACTTGGGAGCAAGGCCAAGGCAGAAAGAGACCTGGGAGACCTCTGCATAGAGCCGATCTTGGAGGCCTTGGAACTGGAGGAGAGTGGAGAGCAAGAAGAGATTCACTGGCAGCTTGGGGGACAGGCTAGCTAGGGGGTTATAAGGAGTAGGCAGTTATGCAGCAAAGAGATGTAAGAGAAAGGTGAGGGTAGTGTTAAGGCACAGAAGCCAAAGGAGGGGGAACATTTTAAGAAGAAACTTCAGCATGTTAACTATGTCACATGCTGCAGGGAGCTCCAGAATGATGAAGACCTGGATGAGTCTTAGATTTGGTGGTCACTGATGACCTCGATTTAGTGGGTGTTAAACAGTGGTGGGAGTCGATTGTGAGGGTTTAAGAAATAATGGAAATTGAGGTTGTGGTGATAGTAAAATGCACACAAAGTTTTTGAGGCGCCCATCTCTAAAGCAAAGGGATGGGAAGGTGGCTTACGAAGTAGCCAGGCTGACAGAAAGTTGGCCTGATTTCCTGATTTATGGTTTAGTGTGAAAGGCTTGACTGTATATTTTGTTTCAGTTTTGTTATTTCAAAACCTTTATATTTGAAATATAACATATAAGAAAATACATGAACTGGGGAGACCGGTTAGCTCAGTTGGTTAGAGTGCAGTGCTCCTAACACCAAGGTTGCCGGTTTGATCCCCACGCCCCCCACAACTAGATTGAAACAACTACTTGACTTGGAGCTGATGGGTCCTGGAAAAACACACTGTTCCCCAGTAAAATACATACATACATACACACATACATAAGCTTAATTACGAATCATTTAGCAAACATCTACGTACACATGCTACCGAGGTCAAGAAATAGACCCTTGGGCCGGCCGAGCGGCGCGATGGTTAAGAACTCGCTTGGGATGCCAGAGGGCCCCGGTTCGGATCCCACATATGAGGGCCAGTGACACTGCCCTCCACAGCTAAGATGCTGAACAACAGCTCAACCTGGAGCTGGGATGCCATGAGTCGCCTGCGACGGCGTGGGCTGCAGTCCCTGTGGCAGTGGATTGCCATGGGCTACCATGTGTGGCCAGCAGCCAGCGTGAGCGGCCAGCAGCCGCAGTGAGCGGCCGTCCAGAAGCCGGCGACTGATCTGCCTCGCCAGAGAAGAGCGCAATGATGGTGCCAACTTGGGCCAGTGAAGCAACATTCTCCACAACTAGATTGAAGAACAAAACGACAGCAACTTGTCTGTTCCCCTTTCCCCAATTCCCCAGCGCTGTTCCCATCCCCCCAATTCCCCAATAAAAAAAATCTAAAAAAAAAAAAAAAGAAAAAAAAAAAGAAATAGACCCTTGCCAGGAGCATGCCCCGCCCCCATGCTCCTGCCCAGTCACACTTCCTCCCTGGTACAGGTGATCCTTCTGACGCTTCTGGAAATCCTTTGCTTCCTTTTTATTATATTTTTACCATCTAAATGTGTACTCCTACATGCGATAGCTTATAGTTTTGCCTGGTTTTGAACTTTATATAAATAGAATTATATAATATGGTTTTTTTTTCATTAGAAATACTTTATATGAAAGTAATAGAATAGCTACATGTACATAATGTGGCTATGTAGCCTTACATGTGAATATTTTCATAAATCTTAAATAACAACAATAGGCATTCATAGGTATATAACCATAGATATGTAATATGTATTCTTTTGTGTCTGGTTTCTTTTGCTCAACATTTTTAAGGCTTATCTACATTTTTTTTAACACTTATACAAATTTATTTACAAGTTTATTAATTATTACTGGCCATCTTTTATTCTTAAGATGCTTTCATATGCATCTATCCCTAAGTATTGGACTTCCTTAAGTTTTGATTCTCTTCCATTTTCTACTATGCTCCCCCACAGCAATCTCATCCACTATCACATCTTCAAAAGTCATCTATGTAATATGATTTGTAAATCAATGTTTCTTGACTAGACTTTTTTTAATTATTATTTTTTATTGTGAAATACACATTTTTTAGAAAGAGTTTCAGCTGTACAACACAGTGCAATAGTTATACTTTTTACTCCTTGAAGTGACAACCCTCCTCCCCCAATCTGCCGCCCCACTTGCCCCTGCCAATATCATACATATCTATTACAATTCCCTTGACTCCACTACCACACTATACTCCACAAAGCTTATCTACATTCTTGTGTGTAGTTGTCTGAATGTGTTTTTATTGCCCAGTAAGCCAGTGGAGGAGATGTTAGGGAGCAGGAGAGACAGGTAATGTGGAGGTAGGAGCGTCTCAAATAAAAAATACAAAAAGGGCATTCATCTTCACATGGGGGAGCAAACATTCATTCCTCTGAGACAGAATTGAAGGAAGAGAGAAAGATACAGAGAGATTTTTGAGGTTATATTTGGAGAGGTTGAGGAAACTCATTTTAGGTGATCTTGATTTCAACAAGGCTGGAGTCTAGATCCACTGCTCCACAGGAAGGAGAACGGGGAGTTTAGGAACTGGAGGAGATGGGGGAGAGTTTGAAATAATTACTGTGTAGACTTTAGGTAGAACTTAGCCACAAATGAATAAAAGCATTTCTAATATCAGTGAGGGCCCAGCTAGGAACAAATTTGGAGCCTAAATTGATATTTTTCCCCATGATATTTCTGTACTATTCCTTCCTAACTTGGGATTATAAACAAACAAAAAGTAGACCAAATGGTGTATTTAGGTTTTATGATCGGCAAGAGGAAAATGCAAAAGATCAGCTCTTCCTTTTGTACCTTGCCAGCTACAAACCAGGTCCTCTGGTTGAAAGCTGTGTATGGTCGTGTACTGATCACCAACTATTGTGTAACCCGCCCCCCACCCACCCAGTATTCCAGGCACTCCCTCACATGGTGCAGCCTGACTTAGCTAACATTGCTCTCCTATGGCCACTCCACTCCTGCCTAGGTGCCCAGGCTGCCTCAGCATTCACTTCCCTTGCTCATTTCTGTTCCTTCGGTGTATTGTTTTCTCTTCATAAAAATGCCTTCCTCTGTCTCCAGCACGGTGGACACAGTGGACATAACTATTTTTTCAAGAAACTGTGAGGGTGTGAAATACAGTATGGGGAATATAGCCAATAATGTTGTAAAATCTATGTATGGTGTCAGATGGGTACTAGACTTATCAGGGGGATCATTTCATAAATTATATAAATGCCTAACCACTACACTGTACACCTGAAACTAATTTAAAAAGTAAAAATTAAAATTTGAAAATAAAGGAAAAAACTGAAGTTCCTATTTTGGAACAGTTAATAAAATTAGAATATGACCTGAATATTAGATAATAGTATTGTATATGCATAAATATTAAATTTCATAACTCTGATAATTTTTTAGAAAAGAAACTGAAGGGAAGGAGAGAAAGAAGGCATAGTAGTTAGAGGAAAGCAGAGGCTCGACTCAAGGTTTTTTAATTTAGTTTAACAGTCATTTATTGAGCCCCTGCTATATGTCTCCATATTGTCTTTCTAGCTAACCCAACTTTAGATCAGGGGCCTAGATTGCCTTCTGTTGGCCTCATTTGTTCCCAGTTAGAATTCCTAACCATGGGATGAAATGTGTTGGCATGGGCCATTTGTCCCTAGCAGCCTATCGGGTCTATTATTATCAGGTAGAAAATGCATTTTCCTTGTGGTCACCAAAGTTTTTACCTGCCCATGAGGACCTGTGTGTGATTTCCTGTCAGCACTCAGCTCCCATGTTCCTGACCTGCAGACCTCTTCCACCTGAGCTGGTCTCAGCATTCTGCAGAGTGGTGCTTCTCAGACAAGGCAGCAAATGAGAATCACTTAATGAGCTTTTTTAAAAAAGAAGAACACCTTCTCAGGATGGGTATTTCCTGGGGTGGAGCACAGGAGTCTGTGCTTTTGTCAGACTTCAGGAGCTTCATGTCTTGCACAGCAGATTTAAAAACACTGGTTAAGTGCAACTATTTATTTTCTGTGCTTTTCTGTCAGTGAAGGTTGGTGGTCTTTTCGAGTCATATTGGGTCTTTCTTTTCCCATTCTTGTTATCTAAGACCACACCCCCTCTAAGATGAACATACGTCATTATATAATTGTTCATTTGTATACAAGGAATGTGCTTGATAAAACATTAAATAATTGAAAACAAATGACAGAAACGAAATGTACATTTAGATGGTGCTTTAACTGTCACCCTCAGATTTCAATATCTTGGTCCTTTTACAAAACAAGACAGGGTCCTTTGTGTTATTTCAGTACCCACTGAAATCCCAGTCACCCCCTGCCTCCCATATCTATAGATGATATGCTTTAACCACAGAACAGCTTTTTCCACTTTTTTCTTTAGAGCCCCAGACTCATGCTTGACCTTCTAACACCTCTATCAGGAAGAAGAATCATTCATCTAACTGTGGTTTGTTAAGTCCTTGGCTTCTACCATGTCCAAGTATTGGGCAGCACGTACCACCTGGTCCAGAACGGGTGACTCTCCATTGTACACAGAGAGCTTGTGAGGAGCCAAATAAGTCTTGATGGTCAATTAGAAATTATGAATCTCTTCACATAGTCATGTTAAACTACACTTGTTTACAATGCTGGAAAGGAAGTTCATTACTTACATGAACTTCAGGCATACCTCTCATGGCTACAAGTGGCTTTGTACTTGAGAAGGCCATTGTGGCCAGCTGTTGAGAACTGTTTGATTCTACCTTCCTTCATGACTGTGTATTCTCACCAAGGGGGTCTTTCACCTTTTTTCTCTTCCCAGACTCATCCCACACAGACCGCCTTCCTCTCCAGTGTTGACCTACACACTCACTGCTCCTACCAGTTGATGTTGCCGGAGTCAATAGCCATTGTCTGCTCCCCTAAGTTCCAGGAGTAAGTACACAGGACGCGGCTCAAGGAATTACAAGGAAATAGTGGGGGAAAAGCCTCGAAGAATAAGTCTCTACTCTTAAGGCCTTCTTCTCTATGAAATATGTAGATTGCGGTATTAATTGATTGTTCTAAAAGGCTTCCTTTTAAGCCCCATATCCTGATAAATCTGTTGTACCTGTTTAAAAAGATATCCAAGCGGCAATTTAGTTGCTTTTCTAAGTAAAGGACATAAGAAATTTGAAATGTTTGATGTGAAACAGTAGGAATTTTAAGGGATTGCTGTCAGATTAGAGAATTTCAAAATCAAACAGATTATCTCAGTGTTAACTTCTTTTTCATTCTAAAACCTGTTGTTTACTATGCCTTCTCCCAGCAAAGTTAGTGTGGTGGCAGCAATGAGTCATTCCTTGACTCTGATTCATTCGCCACGAAGAGGCCTATGAGCCAGAACACTGTTGAAGCTGTCTCAAAATGAGCTGTGCCCTGCTATGTGTGTGTGTGTATATGAGTGTGTGTGTGTGTGTGTTTGTGTGTGTGTGTGTGTGTGTGTGTGTGTGTGTGTGTGTGTNTGTGTGTGTGTGTGTGTGTGTGTGTGTGTGTGTGTGTGTGTGTGTGTGTGTGTGTGTGTTTCTGTGTTTGTGTGTGTGTTTGGGATTTCAGGGCCACCTTTGCCTGATTTTTCTTATTTCAGAACTGGATTCTTTAAACTAACCGACCATGGACTAGAGGAGATTTCTTCCTGTCGCCAGAAAGGATTTCATCCCCACAGCAAGGATCCACCTCTCTTCTGTGTACGTATCTGTGTAGGAGACATTGGGGTTGTACCTCAAGCAGGGAGGACAGTCAGAGCCAGTGAAGTGCATTAGACTTTCTGACCCACATAGAGGACTAGCCTTGTCACCTATCTTTCCAAATCTTCCTAATAAGGACATACATGGGGAGCAGTGTGGGATAGGAGCTGTTGGAGTCTTTGCTCTGCCACTTAAGGACTGTGTGTCTTTGATCGGGCTACTTAACCTTCCTGGGCCTCAGCTTTCTCTTCTGTAAGTGAGGATGATAATAATAATACCTACTTTATAGGTTTATCCAGAGGATTAAATGAAATAATGTATAGAAAGTACCTAGTGCAGTAAGGTGGCTTATTAAATGTTAGTTGTTGTTGTTTTTTCATCAACATCAGTTGCTAAATCTATACTTCATAGGAGATTTGAAAGCCACTTAAGAGAGGTAAAGTATATTTGATTCTGGAATTTTGCTTAGATAATAGGGATTTTTATTTTTTAAAGATTTTATTGGGGGAATTGGGGGAGGGAACAGCGTTGGGGAATGGGGAAGGGAAACAGACAAATTGCTGTCCTTTTGTTCTTCAGTTTAGTTGTGGAGGACATCGCTTCACTGGCCCATGTTGGTATTATCATTGCGCTCTTCCTGGCTGAGGCCTATCAGTCACCAGCCATTGGACAGCCGCTCACAGCGACTCATGGCAGCTCACACTGGCTGCTGGCCACTCACGGTAGCTCATGGCAGCCCACTGCAGCCTCACTGCAGCCCACGCCGTCGCTGGCGTCTCACAGCAGCCCAGCTCCAGGTTGAGCTGCCGTTCACCAACTTAGCTGCAGAGGGCAGTGTCACTGGCCCTCATGTGGAATCTGAACTGGCGGCACCGCTGTTCAGAGCTCGCGCTTCCAAGCCAACTCTTAACCAAGGAACCATTTGGCCGGCCCGATAATAGGGATTTTTATGACCTTCTTAGGAAGTTTTTCTCCCCTAAGTTGTATTCTGTGAATAAAAGGTTTCAGTTGGTGGTAAGGTCAGTATGTTTCAATTTCTTCTCAAATCTAATATGATAGTGTTGCTGTACTCCATGCTGGGCATGGGGCATTTTTATTGATTTTGGGTTCACTGAAAAGTGACCAACATGGAAAAGGGATGTAGAACCTTGTCACATAAGAGGAACTGGGGATGTTTAGGAGAGAAACCCCAAGGAAGATCTGAGAAATAACTTTTTAAGTGTTGGAAGAATTTTTGTATAAAAAGGTATTGGGAGTGATTCCAATGACTCCCAGAACTAAAACTAAGACCTCATGGAATGACAGTTTTTAGCTGAGAATGACAAAGAATTTTCTGGTGGATCTGTTAAAAAATAGGTTAGTCTGCCTTAGAATGTAATAAATGTCGAGGTACCAGAATGTTGAAACAGAGGTTGCACAAGCCTCCTCAAAATGCCCAGGTTTTCAGCTATAAAGACCCCTTTTGCATGCCAAAAGTGAGTGTTTCCCATGTGAGAGTAGGTATGATTTATTATCTGGTTTACATAGTGTCCCAAAAAACTGCAATGAATTCAGCAGTTCTTTTAGATTAATGTATACTTTATGAATGATTCTAGAATATAGATACATTTGAAAAATAAATGAGGATATACAGGCTAAGGTAGGGATTGGCGAAGGTAATGATTCCCAGACCCCTTACCATAACTGCCGGTTAAGTAAGCAGTCTGACTTCCAGACTGAGAACCACTAGCCAGAATGAGCATTTTAAATAAGCAGTCTTAAAAAATGACTTTCCAGAATTTTCCAGGACTTTCCCTTTCTTGTTCCCTATTGCAGAGCTGCAGCCACGTGACCGTTGTGGACAGAGCAGTGACTGTCACAGACCTTCGATGAGAATTTGACTCAAAACACCTTTCAAGAACTATAAAACCGCATCAGTGTACTGTAGCCCCTTAATTTAAACTTTCCAGAAATCTCTGGAAGCTTTTGTAGACAGAATAGAAAGTGAGTATCACCTGGGGGAGAACTGACTTTCCATTTCTGGCTTGAAAAGAAATAATTGAATATATATTTTTAGGCAAGTCTGGAAAATAGCATTATCATGCTAAAGCAACTTTTCAGTCTGCCTGCAACTAAAAAGTTAAGTTGAAAGAATGGTATAATGAACACTCATATACTCTTTGTCCTCGAGTTACCAATTGTTAACAATTTTTTTCTTTCAGCTCTCCCTCTAATTTCTCTGCCAACTTGTTTATTGTTTTCTTTTAATTAAGGACTAATTAAGGGCATCTATGCAGAAATTTGGAAGCCATTCAGAAAAATCTTTGGGTTTTCCTGTGATTTATGGCAATATTAATGAAGTTTATTACAAGGGCCAGGGACAGCTCAGTATGTCCGATCAGAGGGTGAGGCTTGAAAACCCTGAAGAATGATTGTGTCAGGAATTATTGTTATTTAACAAATATTTCAGGATATTTTTTCCTCTACAATAAAATAACAGTTAACTTGTTTGTGTGTGTTCCAGAGCAATCTGTTTGATCAAGCATTGTCTAAACAGGCTAACTAAAAGGTCTGGTTGTTTGGGGAAAATGGAATTTGAGATGTACCATCGAAGGTGTGTCCCAGTTCACTTTTAATTGTTCAGTGTTTTTGTCTGCCTGTTGCCATCATCCAGGGCTGTGAAGTCATCTGTTCTTTTGGTGCTGTCTCAAGTGGGTCATCCCATTCACTTCCTCCTTATGCCCTAAAAGCTTTCAGATGAAGACAATAGAGCCTTTATTTGGAGTGCCAGGTTACCCTCCAAAGAAATGATTACATTCCCATGCCGCCTCACCCTACCAATGTTATTGTGTTGACTATTCTTTTCTGACTTAAGCCACATCTAGGAAGGTGTTTAAAGCTGTAGCCGATCCTGTGTTTTTCTTTCTATGAGCTGAACCTGGTGTTCTAAGGTGGCCTAGAAATAATGGTATTGTTCATGACCCCCCAGACGAGTAAATGGCTTGGCTAGGAGAGGAATGATTTCTTTTTATATCAAAATTCTGTGAGAAAAAGTCTGCAAATGTATGAAGCTTTGCTTCATTTTTAAATTTTGTGTCCTGAATATGTTCAGTCTTTATTGCTTAGGTTGGTGGTCCTTGAACTTTTCCCCCAAAAGAGCCCAGTCTCTATATTCTTCTTCTTCTCTTGGGTTCTTAGCCTCCAAGATATTGGAAATTCTTCTGCAGTTTCGGTGTAGGTGGGGATGTGGGGCCACATGGGGAAGGGTGCCTCTCCTGTCACTGTGCTCCTTTCCCTGCTGTGGCCCCATGGCAGCTTGGACTGTTCCACCTTGCCCTAATAGTCCTGCCATTGCCCCGTCCTGTACTGCCCAGGAAATTCATCCCTTCTTCCATTTGCAGCACTACTGCTTAGTTGAGGGCCTTATTACCCCTTACTTGGACTATTGCAGTCGGCTTTTACCAAATCCCTTGTTTTCAGGGTTTCTTGACTCCCGTCTGTTCTGCCCAGTACATTCAGGAGAAGCTGCCCACATTATAGCCATTCTTATCTTTCCTCTCTCGCTCAAAATCCTGCAATAGCTTTTCACTGCCTAAAACCTAAATTCAGCCTTTATTCAGAACTTTCTATGTGTGGTCACATAAAGCTCTTGCCCGTGGCTGCACATTCAGATACCTGAGGAGCTTTATAGAAAATACTGATACTTGTGCTCTACCCACACCAATGAAATCTGGAGACCGCAGATACTGGTTTTATTTTGTTTTGTTTTTGTCTTCTCTAAAGCTGCTAGGATTCTCAAGTGCAGCCAGGATTGAAAACCACTGCACTAGTCGTTTATACCTAAGAATTGCGAGCTCTCTATTCATTCTCTGCACATCAGAGCTACTCAGCAGTTGTTTGTTGAATCAAAGTAAACTGAATGTATCATATACTGCAGCCACACTGATCCCTTACTGTTTGCCAAGTGGCCACATGCTGTTACCTCTGCACCTGTGCACACGAAAGCTCAGTGGCTGGATGGACACAGGAACTTGGTCTGCTGCGGTCCAGCCAGGGCAGGGGTACTCTGCACGGCGTCAGTGTCTCTGTCTTCCCCCCACCTCTGTGGGAGACAGTCTTGTGGTATCAAGCCAGCCCACGAAGAAGTAGGGATGCTGGGTAGGCTCGTGAGAGAGACAAGGAGCCAGAATTGTAAGGAAAGAAGGACAGGAATATTGCAAATAAAAGGGAATCAGACCGTGACACCACGGCAAAGACGCTTATATTGAAAGAGTAACAACTACTCAGTAGAGACCGACTCCTGGGCTCCTGAAAGCCTTTCCGCTCTCCCATGCCACACAAGCGCCATGCTCACTGGCCTGGGCTGAGTGGAAGGGAGAGGCAGTGTCTGCTTGCATCCCCATTGGCTTCAGAGGCGCAGATCCTCCAAAGTGCCACAGGCCAGGTGCAGAGAGACTGGGAAACTGCTCTGCTGGGGGTTGGGGCCGGGCTGGGTGTTTTCAGGTGATCACTTTCACATACTCCTGGTTAAATGCCACCAAAGACGAAGAAGAAACCACCTAAGCCTTTGTAATGCTCTCTCAGGTACCAAACACCTTAAAAGGCAGCATGGGGAGATTCCCCAGTGGGGCTGGTGTCGTGGGTATTTGCAGCTTGAGAGGCAAGGGTTTCAACTCTCCTTTTGACACCCCAGTTTTTAAAATCGTAATGCAGATCCCCATTGGCTGTTGATTGCTCCTTCACCCCAGTGGAAGGAGAAATTCTTCATGTGGGGCTTGAGAGGAATAGAATCTGCTAAGAGCAAAGTTCTGATGACAACCCTTGGAATGTTATCCTCGCAGGAGAAAGTGCCAGATTGAACATTTAAGACTTTGCTTCTAGGCCCAGCTGTTCATTCATCAGCAAGTCACTTAACTTGCCAAACTTCTTTATAATCTATAAAATGAGGTCAGTCTAATGAGGACAGAATGAAATCTGTATGCAACAACGAGAGTTGTAAGCTGCTAAAGACTTAAAGTACTTGTTATTTGTGTTTCTTGAAATGTTAGAGTTCAGGTGGCAGTTGCTTCCACCTATTAGACTTCTACCCCATCTAACTTCCAGCCAGAGGACTCTTTAGGCAGATCCACATTCTTTATCACCAGCTAGGCCTCAGGTCCAAAGATCTTGTCTGGTCTGCCCCGATATTCTGAGCTGGAAAACTGAGAAACTTAAGTGCCAGAAGAAACATTTCAAATTTCTATTCATTTTCCCTAAGACTCAGCACAAAGCTAGGACCTAGAGAGATTGCACCAGGTCTTTTATCTTTTGGCTCCGCCCACCCCACTCTGATTTAAACCTCCCACTTCCGTTATTCCAACTACTTTTTTTTTTTTTAAGATTTTATTGGGGAATTGGGGAAGGGGAACAGCTCTGGGGAATTCGGGAAAGGGGAACAGACAAGTTGCTGTCCTTTTGTTCTTCAGTCTAGTTGTGGAGGACGTTGCTTCACTGGCCCAAGTTGGCACCATCATTGCGCTCTTCCCAGGCGAGGCACATCAGTCTCCGGCTTCTGGACGGCCGCTCACAGCGGCTGCTGGCCACTCCCGCTGACTGCTGGCTACACACAGTTGCTCATGGCAACCCATTGCAGCAGGGGCTGCAGCCTATGCCATCGCCAGCGACTCAGGCAGCCCAGCTCTAGGTTGAGCTGTTGTTCAGCATCTTAGCTGTAGAAGGCAGTGTCACTGGCCCTCATATGTGGGATCCGAACCGGGGCCCTCTGGTGTCCCAAGCCAGGTCTTAACCAACGTGCCACTCGGCCAGCCCCTTTTTTATTAAGATTTTATTGGGGAATTGGGGGAGGGGAACAGACCAGTTGCTGTCCCTTTGTTCTTCAGTCTAGTTGTGGAAGATGTCACTTCACTGGCCCATGTTGGTACCATCACTGTGTTCATCCTGGGTGAGGCAGTCGCTCGCTGGCCATTGGACCACTGCCCACAGCGGCCCACGAAAGTGCACGCCAGCGACCGGCCAGCCCCACTGCAGCCTACGCCGTCACCGGCAACCCACGGCAGCCCAGCTCCAAGTCGAGCTGCCGTTCACCTTCCTAGCTGCAGAGGGCGCAGCATCACTGGCCCTCATGTGGGATCCGAACCGGGCCCTGCTGGCATCCCAAGCCAATTCCCAACCAATGCGCCACTTGGCCGGCCCTGTTCCAACTACTTCTTGAGATGAAAGAAGAGGAAGACAATTTTGACCCTCTTTACAAAAGTCTTCCCTCCATCCAGTTAACCTTCTCCTACTTGGGGTTAGAAGCACAGCCTTATGTTTACAGGATGTGTCTGTCCAGTATCATTCATTGCGACTGTTAGATCCAGAATCCAGCCCTGTTGCACTACATAACCAGGGCTCATGTCCTTTGGTGACCAAACCTACTTCCCTTAGGCCTTGGTTCAAGTTCAGCTTTCTCCAGTGTCTTCTCTCACTGACCAATTCACTCCAAGAGCTTCCTTCTTTGAACTCCCATGGCATTTATAGCCTGTTTCCCACAATTAGATATGTGGTTTTTGTTTGTTTTTTGCTGTTTTGCAATATTTTCTTATTGCCTTCTTATGTGAGTCATGTCTCTGAACTGTCATGTAAGGTAAGGGTAGGGGCCATGTTCGCTTTCTAGCACTGTGTTGAGTGCCCTTCAGTCAGCCCAGCACTTCCTTACTTTCTTTTGCTTAGCATTCCTTGAAATACTGTCCTTGGTGTTGAATCATGTGTTAGAAAGCCAGTAGGACCTGTGCCCTAACCTTGATAAGCTCTATCTTCACCTTGTAGGAAGGCATCTTAACGTCTTGACTCAGACATCATATCTTGGGCCCATGCTGCCACCCCAGTGTCACTTTATGCTGAAGGTCTGAATACAAGAAAGAGCTCTCAGCAGAATGAATCAGCAGTTGAGCTCTCCTTCCAGCTGCCAGAACAGATGGTTGTCCTGCCCAAAAGGCTCATTTAATGGGTGGTCAAGGGAAGGTGTGCCTGCAATGAAAGCTGAAGGGGGAGCTCATAGAGGTAGAAGGAGACCAGGAGATAGTGACACCACTATATTGTTGCAGAAACCAAGGAAGGCAACAGTTTAAAGAAAGGAGGGGAATGGTGCCAAATGTCTCAGGAGAGGTTTTCTGGGCTAAGGACCAAGATGAGTCCATGGGATCTGGCAGTTAGCAGAGGTCTCTCCTGACAACCCCATCTGAAACACCTCCACCCATTACTCCACCACAGCTCCTTCTTTACTCTCAGTACAGCACTGTCATTAGCCAAAGTCATCCTGCTGGTTTATCTCTAGCTATGTATCTCCTTAAGTAACTCCTTGAAAACAGTACCTTTGTCTTGTTCACCCTTGTATTCTCAGCGCCCATAAAAGTGCCTGATGCTCAATAAGATAGAATAAATGTACAGACTTGTCCAAAGTCACCCAGTTAATAAGTGGGAAAGCTTTGTTTTTTAGGGGGGAACAGAGCAGTAAATGTGCACAGGTTTT